GACTATAGTTAATAACACTCTATTGCATATTTGAAAGTTATTAAGAGAGTAGGTCGTAAAAGTTCCTACCACAAGAAAAAAATGTGTAACTATGTGTGGTAATGAATGGTAACTGGACTTACTGTGGTGATCAATTCCCAGTATATACAAATATTAAATCAGCATATTGTGCACCAGAAACTAATATAATGTTAGATGTCAATTTTACCTCAATATTCTAAAAATTACAAAAAATTTTTAAAAGAATATGAAGCCCACTTTTCTGCAGGTCAGGAGAGGGTTTCATAATTTAAAAATATATATTTGGCAATAAATAGTTTTAAATAGCCCAATATTTGTTTAAATTTGCAATGCTTTTTTGTTTTTTAGTTGTGAGATTGAAAGGTTAGGGGAGTGTATGTTTGAACATTTTTATTAGTTTCATCTCCTTCGTCTTATTGATCCACAAGACTTCTTCATTTATTAAATACATTAACAATCGAACAAATGTTTATGACATCAACAGCTGTTAATGACTGTACTGGCACTCCTGAGGGTTACAGGCATGAGTAATGATGATGTGAAAATTTCAAAACGGACACATCCATTATACAGGTTTATGTAACCCTAACTATAGAGCAAAATGAACCACACCAGCTAGCTTCCAAATTAGAGATTTGATTTGCCTCATTCATTAATTCTGTTTATAAGGATATCTTAACTTGGATACTCTACTTTTTTCTTATATGACTTAGGTTAACCTCCATCGTGAAGCTCTACATGGTACAAATTGTTTCATTTAATTTAATATTTCAAACACACTTGGGGGGGACTTTCTCTGTGCCAATCACTGTGCTAGAGAAGAGAGAGAGAGGTAGAAAGTAGAAGAAAACCTGCAAATATAATTTCTTTCTCTTTTTAAGGAGCACGCTGTCGGTGAAAGAATTAGATCGCAAATAGATGCTGGATCCAGATGGCTGGATAAAGCCTAGACAGTAATCTGTACAAACTGCAGTGGGAGAATTCTAGGGGCATCAAAGAATCACACTAAGCTATCTAGATACATTTGGATCGAAGAGCTCTTGCACAGGGCAAAACAGGCGCCAAGGACCCAGTGTGACCTGCTGCTGAAAGATAACAGCTATATTTTATGTTTCCTTTTGGTGCCATCAATGATGGGAGAGAACACCTGCCAGCAGGCAGGAGGGTGGGGGGCTGAGGGGGAGAGGGGACAAATGGTATGCAAAGGTTTTTATTCTAGACATTGATGACAAATTGACATTATAATGGAATAATCATAGTTCAGGTAGACAAAAATGGAATGGAGTGGCCATTGAGGATCTGGTCTCAGACATGTCCCTGTCACCACTGAGAACTTGAATTTTTCTTTACCCAAGGACACCACCAGCATATTCAGAACAACAGCCAACAGCTGCAACTTTATGGTGTCAAGGTCCTGCTTTGTGACTATCAACCATTTCAGATCCCAACCAATCCTTGCTTAACAAGCTTCTCACTTCTTGCCAGCTGCGATTCTACTTCTTGACAAACAACTTGTGTAACTCAACAGCCTTGCAGCTTTTGCCTTTATAAGCTTCCTCTATTTCGCTGTCCAGCGGTCCTAACAAACCCAAAGTAAACGTCTCTTTACTTCAAGCAGGTCTGCTTTTCTGCAATTTTGGTTAACAACCTATATTGTCCAGGGCTGGATCAAATAATATGTGTTTCACTGTATCCCTGTTTAGGGACTAGCAATATCCTGACCCTGAAGTGTATGGTTGGGGCTCCATGTAAACAGAAAGAACTTGAACAGTGTATCAACCTCAAGTGGACAGAAAGCAGACAGCATTAAGAATGTATCATGAATGTCAGCGAGCAGATAGAAATTCACTACTAGAGGAAGAGATTGATGTGAGAATCAGTCCAAGATTACCCGCCCAAGAAAGTGCATTCCCACCCCCCAGGCAGATGGTTCAACCTGAAGCCCTGTGTTGACCATATTTGAACGGCTCTTTCCTAATATTGCCGGTTTCCATTGATGTAGATGCTGAGTTCTAGTTCCCTCCTAGGGTCCCAAACATCCTGCGTCTGGTATAACAGCACATGCAGCTCAGGAGACATACCTGAGAAGTGTGAATTCCTGGGATTTAGGAAAGGTCCTTAAATAATAACAAAGTGAAAGTTCTCTAGAACTTCATAGAGAGTTCCAAAGCTATAAGTGACCTCCAAAATTATCTGTTTAGTATGAGGCAGTGGCAGTGAAGAGAAAGGGGAATTCGACTTTTTGAACCCAGGTGTGAATCCCATCTGGTATTAATTTGCTCTGTGATTTAGAGCAGATGACTTCAACCCCCTGAGCCTTATTTTCCTTCCCTGAAAAAAAAAAAAAAAAAAAGTAAGAAATAACCCTTACCAGGACTACTTACAGGGGTAGGAGAGAGAAAATAAAATACTCTGTGGATCAATCAAGTTACAATCTCTATAAATAAAGTTCATTTCCATCATCTTCCAAAAGTAAGCTCCTGCTGTTCCTTCCAAAAACCTGCTCCTCTCATGGTCTTCTGCGACCCAAATGAAGGCCACTCCTTCCTACCATTTGCTCAAAAAAATCTTGGAGTCATCCTTGTCTCCTTCCTGTCTCATTCCTCCCCATTAAATCAATCAAACACAGGTCAAAACACTTCTCACCACCTCCACCACTACCCGTGTGTCCAATCTTCCACAGCAATCATCTGGACGCTAAGGAGAAGTCAAAGTACCTAAAACTTGCAATTGAAAGGAGTCTTAAAGGGCATCTAGGTATAGTCCCCAAAATGACAGAGCTAATGCTTCTACTTAGGGGTGCCCAGCACCATTCACTACATGTAGTGGGCAGTGAAAGAGTTACAGCCCCAGAGACTACTGGCTGCCTGGCCTTGTGCACACCGCATCATCTTTCTGAGCCTCAGTTTCTCTATTTTGAATAAGGTAATTGGTTAAGTGATTTCTTCAAGACCCTTACAGCCAGAAAGACACTTAAGAATATATAGAAGCCTGCTAAAAATTACATAACATTGCAACCCACTGCATTGTGGTGGGCCCACGGGGATGAATATTAGTACTGTCATAACAAACTCAAGCACACACACACACACACAAAGGAAACATTTCCTTCCACAACTAAGAAAGATACAGCCTTTAGCGCATGAAGAAAAAAAATGATAGCTAAAATTAGCATCTTAAAAAAATAAACTACATAATCACGGAAGATGAGATTTTCTTAAAACTGTAGAACAATGAGATATAATGATAGCTGTCATAAGAGAGGAAATTGTAGGAGTCAATCTGAAAGGATTTGGGGATGCTTTTCCCCCCCTATTGAGATTTGTTTTTCCACATACCACAGTAAGACAGAAAAGCTAAAATATTTGCCCAGGGCTGTTTTGATCGGTGCCTCATAACACTGCTGTTGACATTAAGAAATTGTCATTCACGTTGACTGATTTGTGTATATTGAAGAATCCTTGCATTCCTGGAATAAACCCCACTTGATCATGGTGTATGATCCTTTTAATGTGTTGTTGGATTCTGTTTGCTAGTATTTTGTTGAGGATTTTTGCATCTATGTTCATCAGTGATATTGGCCTGTGGTTTTCTTTCTTTGAGACATCTTTGTCTGGTTTTGGTATCAGGGTGATGGTGGCCTCATAGAATGAGTTTGGGAGTGTTCCTTCCTCTGCTATATTTTGGAAGAGTTTGAGGATAGGTGTTAGCTCTTCTCTAAATGTTTGATAGAATTCGTCTGTGAAGCCAGCTGGTCCTGGGCTTTTGTTTGTTGGAAGATTTTTAATCACATTTTCAATTTCAGTGCTTGTGATTGGTCTGTTCATAATTTCTATTTCTTCCTGATTCAGTCTTGGCAGGTTGTGCATTTCTAAGAATTTGTCCATTTCTTCCAGGTTGTCCATTTTATTGGCATAGAGTTGATTGTAGTAATCTCTCATGATCTTTTGTATTTCTGCAGTGTCATTTGTTACTTCTCCTTTTTCATTTCTAATTCTATTGATTTGAGTCTTCTTTTTTTCTTGATGAGTCTGGCTAATGGTTTCTCAATTTTGTTTATCTTCTCAAAGAACCAGCTTTTAGTTTTATTGATCTTTGCTATCATTTCCTTCATTTCTTTTTCATTTATTTCTGATCTGATCTTTATGATTTCTTTCCTTCTGCTAACTTTGGGGTTTTTTTGTTCTTCTTTCTCTAATTGCTTTCGGTGTAAGGTTAGGTTGTTTGTTCGAGATGTTTCCTGTTTCTTAAGGTAGGACTGTATTGCTATAAACTTCAGCCCCAAATGAAAGCCAAAGCATGTGTCAGGCTCCACGTAGTGATATTCTCCAATTTGCATAACAGTGTTCAGTTAATAAGGCCGCCTTACGTACATATTCTCATCCATTCTCTAAAAATAGTCCATTTGATGAAGCCTAGATATCACTAGAAAATCTCTCTCAGATGAATTCAAAATATCCCTCTCAATCTGCCTGAAAGAAAAGAACACCTTTTGTTTGCCATTTGACAGTTCAGGAAGCCCTTTCACTTCTCTTGGCTTTTAGAGAAAAGGTGTGACCTGCTTGGGGGGAGGCGGGGTGCAGGGGGTGCAGCAGAGAGGGAGAGAGAAGGAGGCATCAGATCTAATCTTGGCCTTGGTCTGCAGATCAAACTTGAACAAATCACTTCTATTCACTGAGCCTCAGTTCCTAAGCCACTGAATAGAGACAGTTCTTACAGGGCAGCTAAGATCAAAATCAATAGAGAGATAAGTATGTCAAGGGATTTTATAGGTTGAAAATGCTGGTCTACAAATCTCATGAACCCTGAGCAGTAAGGAATAGAGCACTTTTCATCGGGTCATGGAGAATATGAGTCTAGATGGAACTACAAGGCAGTAGTGGAGGGGACGCGAGACACAAGTTGGGGACAAGAGGAGTCAGCTCATAGAGAGGAGCCCCATCTCTTTGTAGAACCAGTGACAAGCCACCTGGCCTTACCTGAGTAGACTCTGGCCAGTCCTCAAGGATCTTCCTCTCTTCTTGGACAAAGGGGGCCAGACCACAGACAGTGGCCAGTGGAGATGTGGTTGGCTCAGAGGAAGCCAAACAAGAGGGTGTTTTCGTGCTGTCACCCCACTCGGTCTGAATCTTGCCTCACCCAGAGGGCTGAGAGTGACGTGCTCAACCTCCAACAAAGGGTCAAATGAAAGGACTGGAGATATTTACAGGGAGGAACTCCACCTGTCAGAGATGGGGAACTGGGTTTGTGGGTGGAGCTTTTCTTGTTCTACAATGACACACCTCTCTCTCCTGTCCACTCCTTCAAGAAGTCCTGGATTTTTCTGCCCACTCCTTCTTTGATTGACCTCTTATGATGGCATGGGCAGAAGCAGCCCGCTGTCCATTCCTCCCTGGCATCTGTATGCTTCCCATTCACAGTAAGAAAGCTTAAGCCTGAAGCCTATCCTCCTTTTATTAACATTAATGATGAGTTGGGCTTTTGGCTATTTGTGATTTTGAGTATCATCATCACTTTCACAACAGGAGAGGAGAGGCATGTAGAGCAGTATGTCTATAAGAACAAACACAAACTCTCCGGTCAGTATTCCTATTAGAGTATTTGCCACATGACACTCTTTTCCACTTAAGTGGATGTCCCTCTCACTAGACTATGAGCTCCTTGAAGGCAAGGACCACATCTTATTCTCCCATAGATTCCCCACAATGCCCAGTATGTGGCAAGCAGCAAATAAATGCATATTGAATGAATGGTGATCAGTTAGTATCTAGTCAGTGAATCCTGATCTGCCATTTAATGGCTTTGCAACTTACGGCAAAAGTCATATTTTTACCATTCTGAGCTGATATTTCTGTAAATTGAGGATATCAGTCCTCCTTCAGGGATGTGGATGGAATTTGAAAGGCAGCCTACGGAAATGAATGTAGGATAAGACTTGACATGGCAACAATGGCTAGAAAATGTAATTGAATCTGAGATTTTGAAACCCAAATAAGAGTTTACTACTTAGAGAGTCATTATAAAGTAAAATATGAACTGTGAAGAGAATCACAGGTCCACGTGTCTTTTTTACAAGTCTCCACAACATCTATGATGTGATCAGTTTATGCTTTCACACAGCAAGTAGTTAACGGAGCAAGGACCTTGGCCATTCTCAGTTCTCAGAGCAGACAAGAATTGGAAAATGAACTAGACACAGCCTCTGACACAAGGAGTCAGGAAGATGAAATATGTAGAAAAATGATGAACACCTCAGATAGGATCAGAACAAGCACTGTGGTGAGTCACAGGAAAGAGCAATCCAGGGAGGCTTCACAGAGGAAGAGGCAGCCTTCACTCTGGGCTGTTAAGAAGAGCTGGCATTTCAACAAGTACAGACAATGGAGTTGGATATAAATGTTACCTGTGGGATGGACTGAGCCACTGTTCCCTGATCTCACTGATTTTTGTCCTCCTTAATATAGACTCCAGGATGAAAAGAGTTTCACATAACTGGTATGTAGGTCACACCACTTACACACCACAAAACTACAGGGCCATTAGAAGTAATTGCGAGACAAATACTGTTCCCACTGAGCTCCAAGTGTCTTTATGATGGCTCAGGATGGGGGCAAAAGGCAGAGAGGAGCAGAGAGATGCTGGATCCCAGCCCGGTCATTTAGGAGGGGGACCAACCAATGCATTGCTGTTGAAGTTATTGCTGCATTCGGTTAGTTTAAAGGGCAAGATGCTCTGTGAAAAGACACCATGTATCCACGTGGCAGCTATCTAATTATCACTAGGTTTCCAGGGGCTGCTGAACCCTCCTCCCAGCTCCTGCTGCACTCCTGTCACATTGCAGCCTGCGGTAACTGGAGCAGGAAACAATATACATCCAGGAAGGACAACAAGCAGAAGAAAGAACGTCACACAGAAAACATGGGCTCTGGTCCCTCATCCGTCGCTCAAGGGGATCGGCAGCAAGTAGCTTAGTCTTCGCCAAGCCTCAGTTTCCTCTTCTGTGCAATAAGAATTATAATACAGACCCCACCCACCTCCCTGGGTGAGATTCTGGAGGTAACGCCAGCTTTGTAAATGCTAATATTTAGGCATGAATGGGCAGTGCTATTATGATGGAACATATGATGACACGTGGGATTTGCCTCATGTCTACTGTTCCCGGTTGTATCACAAGCTATGTACAGATCTCCTGGTGGATAAGAACATAATCAACAGCTGAGGGGCACAGAATCACAGAAAAATTTTACTAGATAGGCACTTAGAGATCATTTCTCTTGGAATGTTGCTTCTTCTCTCTCTTTTGCAACAGCCTTTACAATTGATTCCCCTTCCTCCGCTATTTCAATCCTGTGCTCCCTGGGAGGGAATGTTAAGCTGTTCCTTATTTGGGTTAGGAAACACTGGTTTATTAGACCTCCTCCTCTCCTGCCAGTTTTCAGACAGAGATGGAGTAACACCCTGATGCGCACTCAGCTAGCTCTCATCCTGGCCTCCGCAGGGCTATTCTCTTACATACGTCCCGGGGGCAGCAGATGGACAGGAGAAAGCATGAGTAGGCACGGATCCTCGCCACATCTGAACCAGAACCACCTTTTCCACCCTAGCTTTCCCCCCCACCCCCAGTGCAGAGGATTGGCACATAGCCATGCATCACTGAGGATAAACAGACTCTGTCTATAAGAATCCCACATCCCTACTCCCCAGCGATGCGCCCTCCCCAGGAGTCTTGGAAAAAGGAGCACAGTGATGATAAATAGATCCAGGCGGCGGTTGTTGAAGCAAACAGGAACCAGCAGGCCGATTATCAACTGAGGAATGTAAGTGGTGTGACTTTCTCCTTCTCCTGAGTTCCAATAGCACACAGCAGGCATCGCTAGTATTACTCCTATTGTGGTTAGTTTTCTCCCCTCATACATAGCTGTCTACTTTCCGTAAAGGTAGGGGTGATCTCGTAAACATTCTTTTCAGGATCTAGCATGGTACAGGAGCTAGAGGTACCATCCACTAAGGAAACAGAGGTGCTCAAGAGATGCCTGATAGATGGAAGGATGAATAAATGCACGAATATGTGATCTACTCTGCTCCCCTTCCTGGCTCCAGGAGGTCTTGATGCCTGAGAGATGACAAGCAGGAGAAAGAAGCAATAAGTTCCCCCATGATTTTGACATGGAACTAAATTCAGCCCAAAGCATCTTTTTTCCTCTCTCTATTTACTCTGGACAATCTGTCCCTTATCAGATGAGCTCAAGGCTGGTTGGAAATATGCGTATTTTATTTGAAAATATCATCTTCTTCCAGTTTTGTTTTGCTGCACAGACATTTGTCTGCTTTGCTGTGTGTTGCGCATCAGATAGGATTCAGACAAACTGCTTTGGCTTCCTAAACTGTTTTGTTTTCTCCATTCAACTATCATTTATCTCATTTCCCTTCCTGCATCTCGCTCTGACTCTCAAGTTCCAATTTAACCCACAATGAGAGAGCACAATTTTGTTGTTACTCAGCTTCAGGCTGAGAAAGGGCACAGAAACTAGAAGGTCTGAGATCTAGTCCCCATTTGTCACTCACCAGCAGTGTGACCTTCCAGGGATCTCCTTTCCTCTCTTGGCGTGCTTCTCCTTTGCAAAATAAAGTCTCCTCTTGACTGCCACAGAATCTAAGGACCATCGCTTGAAACTCTCGGGGCACCAGGCTGCAGTCACCCTTGTGCCATTTTCCACATTCAGTGCAGCTGGGGAAGACTTCTCGTCACTTCTGGCTTTGGTTCGAGGCAATGGTCTGGGGTCTACTGGCCGAGTCAAGCCCCTCCCTCTCCACCCCAGCTTCCCACCCCACTCCCTGAGCCACCCTCCCACAGGGCAGCTTCGGGCCTGCAGTCTGAACATTGTACACAGCCCGGCTTACCGAAGGGCCCCATGTTTGGTTTTGCTCTGCTGTCACCATCTTGACAGCCTTTATAATTTTTGAACAAGGGGCCTGCATTTTCATCTTGCACTGGGGTCACAAACTATGTAGTCAGTCCTGCCCCTCCTCTTCCACCCCCAGCCCCCCAAAGCAAGAAAACTAAGAATCGTTAGGAAGAGGGCAACAATGGGGCAGCTTTGCCAGGCAGGAATGGCCCTGAAGGGATCATCCCAATGCAGAGCCTTGCCATGGACCTCCCTTCCTTATACATAGAAAACCAGAAGGTGGAACTGGCCATAAGCTTCATCTGTATCAACCTTCTCCCTCTTGGGAGGCTTGGGGGCCTGACTCATGCCGGGGTGTCTCACCATTCCTGCTAAGCACTGGGCTCCTCCCTGCTCTTAGGGCTCAGGTGGAAACGTGGGCTGCCCTGGAGTGGATGTGGAAACCATCCAAACACCACCCGACATGGCAGAGCTGGGCAGGATCTCAGAGAAGAACCCAGACAGCCATCACAACCCAACTTCCTTTACCAGTGAAACAAACCGCAGCAGATTAGAGAAAGGACTGACCCAAGTTCACACTGTGAGTCAGTTTCCCAGGCTGCTCTTGTCATTAATTCTCTTTTAGATCCTTCCCCTTTCTATGTAGCTGGGATCCACAGGGGGGGAAAAATACTATTCTTCGGTCACACAGATAACATAGTCCCACACCCAGTGCAGAGACCAGCAGGTTCCGCTCCTCAATTTCTATTGGTCAAATTAAATCAAAGATGATCCTGATATCTTAAAACTGCAGCAAGATGAAATGATTACCATTGGGTCTCTTCTCCTATCCCAAGTTCTTCTGAGAGCCTGAGTCATTTCACATGTCTCAGCGGGAAAGAAATCAAAGGAGGAGGGGAAGCTTGACAAAATTTAAACACGTAAATAAATAGAGTAATGTAAACTACAATGCAAATAAGACATGCTTTTGAAACACTGAGACTCCAAGGAAAATAGGAAGGGCACTAGTTAGGATAAAAGGTATTGTACATCTGTGTAGGTATGGAGAGTTCCTTCTGGGTCCTAGTTCACTAACCCTCTCCGGGTGTTCCTGGGCAAATACATCTTTGAGAATGTTTCTCTCTCTGGCCTTTGGCTTCCTGGTCAAACACATGAAGAAGATCAGACAC